TTAATTGATTTCAGAGAGGAAGGGAGAGGGAGAGAAAGCTAGAAACATCAATGACGAGAGAAAATCATTGATTGGCTGCCTCCTGTGTGCCCCTTACTGGGGATCGAGCCTGCAACCTGGGCATGTGCCCTTGACCGGAATCGAATGGAACCCTTCAGTCTGCAGGCCGACACTCTACCCACTGAGCCAAACCAGCCAGGGCAGCCACTCCACTCTTCAATCTTCCCTGCTGGCTCTCCTTGCAGGCCACTTCCTTCTCACCCACTTGCTCCTGGAGCGGCTGAAGGAGTCTGCTCCTGCACGGGTGGTGAACCTGTCATCAGTGGTCCACATTGCTGGCAAGATTCGCTTCCACGACCTCCAGGGTGAGAAGCGCTACAGCCGCGGTTTTGCTTATTGTCACAGCAAGTTGGCCAATGTGCTTTTCACTCGTCAGCTGGCCAAAAAGCTCCAAGGTAAGTCGGGAGAAAGGGCCAGGGTTCAGGTAGCGAAAGCAGGGTTTTCAGTCCAGATTCGAGGTTCACAGAAATTTCTGAACACCTCAAACATGAACACTACAGTGGTAGGTAGCTCTATGCCCTGAGGAGGATGCCCTTGGGAAACTTCAAATTGAGTAACAGTTAGGAACCTAGGAAGTTACCTTACATTTATGTCAAATCTTATATCTATTATCTGATATTATTTTTCACAACAACCTCTTGCAACAGGCAGAGCAGGTATTATTATTATATGGGTCCAAACTGAGGTCCAAAGAAGCAGCCAGCCCAGGTATATACTGCTTTCAATCCAGGGTACTTCCTTCTGAGTGCTATTTGCTGAGATTCACGTGGTTAGCTGAGCAAGAGAGGTGCCACTGTCCGGAGTCAGGGAGCTAGGCCTGGACGTCACCCCCTGGGTCTGAGTTCTTGCTCTGCCACATAGTAGCCACGTGTGTATAAGGACATGTCCCTTTATCTTCTCCTGACTTCATCCCCTCAACTTTAAAATGAGGTGAGGCCTCTCTTAATCCTATGATCCTTTCCCTTCCTGGAGTTTTCCTTGAGTTGCTGGCTTTGGGATCTGGAAATCATGGGGACTATTTGCTACGGCTGAATAAGCCAGAGTTCGGGAACAATGGTATTTGCTATCAGAACACAGAAGGTAGAAGAATAGGGCAACCATTAAAAGAAATAATAATAATGACAATAATAATTGAGAATTTTGTGTGTGCCATGTACTATACATGTCTTAACTCATTTAATACAACATTCCTATGAGGTAGGTGCTACTGTTTTTCCCTGCTCTACAAGCAAACAAACAAGATAGGCACAGATATATATGAAACTTGAACAAACAAACAGAAGAGACCAGCACAGATATATATGCAACTTGACCAAGCAAGTTTCCTAGCTGAGCCAGGATTTAAATCCAGACAGTCCAGCTCTGGAGTCCATGCTCTTTACATCAGAGTTCAGACCTTGGCCTTGCAACCTGCTAAGGTATGACCTTGGGCAATCTTTACTTAACCTCACTGTGATGAGACTTCAGCTTTTTCCACGGTAAATGGGCATCTTAATATAACTTACCTCATAAGCCTCTTTGAGAAGCAAATGAGATAATGCAGGTAAAGCACGTAGTAGGCCCTTGCACATACTAAGTACTAAAAATAGTGGAGGCACCAGGGGTGTCTGGGGGGCATGTTAACCCCCATCATCTTCATCAACACCCCTCAATCTACACCGCATAAAATGTGCTTGCCTGGCAAATGCGGCTCAAGCCACTAACTTCCTTTCTTTCAACCACATTGCTTCCCTTAAGTCAGGAGTGGGAAACCTTTTTTCTGCCAAGGGCCATTTGGATATTAATAACATCATTCGCTGGCCATGCAAAAATATCAACTTAAAAATTAGCCTGCTATATTTGGTCAAATATTTAATTAACTCACCCCTAATGCCTTGGCAGGGCCAGACCAAATGATTTCACGGGCCTTATACAGCCCGCAGGTCAGATGTTCCCTACCTCTGCAAGCCCTTCCTATAGAAATTCCAAAGATGCCACTGTCAGTAATTGATACTACTACTATTGCTACTAGTAGTATTATTAGTAGTGCAACTAGTACATGCTGTTGTTTCTAATATTAACTAGAGGCCCGGTGCATGAAATTCATGAATGGGGGTGGGAGGGGTGTCCCTCAGCCTGGCCTGCACCCTCTCCAATCTGGGACATCCGTCTCATAATCTGGGACCGCTGGCTCCTAACCACTTGCCTGCCTGCCTTCCTGATCTCCCTTAACTGCCTCTGCCTGCCTGCCTGATCAACCCTAACTGCCTCTGTCTGCCTGCCTGATCGCCCCCTAACCGCTCCCCTGCCAGCCTGATCACCCCTAACTGCCCTCCCCTACCGGCCTGATCACCACCTAACTGCTCTCCCCTGCTGGACTGATCGCCCCTAACTGCTTGCTCCCCTGCCAGCCTGATCGCCCCTAACTACTGCCTCTGCGGCCCCTGCCACTGTGGCTTTGTTTGAAAGGAAGTCGGACATCCGGAAGATGTCTGGTTGACCTGGTCTAATTAGCATATTACCCTTTTATTAGTATAGATACTTAAGTCACAGAGAAAGATGACATCGACATAGAAGGACCTTCACCCAAGCATTCATTTTGGAGCACAGAAGGCTGAGAAGGCTATAGATCTTTCTGGAAGAGATCAATTAATCACTAGCCAGGTTTTACCTGGCTAGGGGTGGTACCTTCTAAATCACTGGGTTCTGTTTTTTGAGTCCCTTTTTCTCACTTATGCATTTTGCAGCAGGAGGTGAGCTGTTTCGGGGGCTCAGAGTGTGTCCCTGCTCTAACTGTGCTCTCTTTGCCCTAGGCACAGGGGTCACCACCTACTCGGTGCACCCGGGCATCGTCCGCTCTGAGCTGGTCCGCCACTCCTTCCTGATGTGCCTGCTCTGGCGGCTCTTCTCCCCCTTCCTCAAGTCAGCGCGGGAGGGGGCGCAGACCAGCCTGCACTGCGCCCTGGCTGAGGGCCTGGAGCCCCTGAGCGGCAAGTACTTCAGGTGCGTGTAGGCAGCGCAGGTTCTCTCCCCACCAACGGTGTGCATGGTGACACTCACTGTTCCCTGGGCTTTGCACCCCAGGTGGCCGAGTTTGCACCTCATAGCAGAATCCAGGTTTGGGTTGGGCCTGCAAACCAAATCCTGTGACTTTTCCAAGGGAACTTACATTAGAAACTTGGCAAGAGTTGCTTTCCTGGCTCTATTTTATATCTGTGTGCCATGTTTCCAGGAAAGAAAGCTTTGTAGCTTTCTGAGAGCCGTAAGAGAAGGCTGTCCCCATTGACGGTGCCTTGGGAAGGATATTAGCAGGCTCCCTCGTTGAACCTTTGGCTGACTTTTCCATGCATTCCTTAGTACCACTTAGCACAAAGCACCAGGGCAAGGCCACGCTCCCCAGGGTGAACTCTGTCTCCCCAGGCTGCCAAGATCGGCACTATCTGTTGCAATATAGAAATAGACATTTCAGTGTTGAGTCTTATCACAAATTCAGTTTGGGAATAAAGGGGAGCCTGGGATTAAAAGAGGGAAACACTATATATCTATTTCTATACAAACAGAGCAGAGCAGAGTGTAAGGAAAAGTAATTAACGCATAGTTTCTTCGTTATCAGAACCGCATTTTCCATGAATGCAGGCAATGAACTGCAGGATTCGTGGTAATACCTATGACTTTGTCACCCATGAAACTGTAGTATTTTCATGCCCCATTGCAGTTGCAGATTTCTCAAAATGTCACTTCTGCTCGCCACTACTTGGAAATCCTGTGGTTATTAGACCCAGTGCTAGCTCTTGTTATAGATTATATTAGTAAAGAAGCTTATGTGTTACTATGCCATGGATTTTTTTACAATATTTAAAGACTGCATTCCAATACAGTTGGTTTCTTTTCATGCAACCTATTTTATACATTTAGAAATGTATTCTGAGAAAGAGGCCATAAACTTTTCCGGACTGTCAGTTTCCACTCCTGGATGTTTACATTCTTTCTTTGCCCTCCAGTGACTGCAAGAGGGCCTGGGTGTCTCCAAGGGCCCGAAATAACAAAACTGCTGAGCGTCTGTGGGCCGTCAGCTGTGAGCTTCTAGGAATTCAATGGAAGTAGAGCTGGTAGAAGAGCCACGGCTTTATCAGGTCTGGTCCGTGCCATCATGAAGGGGGACCAAGAAGGCCAACCCTGAGGATGGTCCTCCCGGCTGGCTGCTGCTGTGAATCCTGTCCTCCTCTGATTCTCCTGACCCTTCTGGAAACTTCTGTATACCCAACCCTCTTGTGAGGCTGGCTCATGGCATCAGATGTTCACATCTACAGAGCATTCTTCTCCAAGACTTGCAGTCGGCCTCCCTCTCGGGGCAGGAGGAGGAGGCAGATGCCAGGCTGAGCACAGGGATGGCAAAAGAGCCTGGGAAACTGGGTCAGTTTCCTCACCGGGACCAGCAACGCCAGCCAGCAGGCTCAGCTGAGGTGGCAGGAGCACCAGCGTTACGTATTTCCAGGGACTATAGACTCAAACTTTTGACTAATCTCTCCTCTTTAAATTCTGGTCACAACTCTGGAGTCTGGACCAACTCAGGAAAATCTTGGCTTAACCTTGGCCAACTTTGGTTCCTTCCTCTGAGCGCCCTGGAGTCCCTGCATGAAGCTGGGCCTTCCCATTTTCTTTTTCCACTTCTTTTTTAGAAATTGAAAAACAATTTCTAGCTTTATTGAGATATAATTTTTAATCATGTAGATGGTTTCATTTTCTAAAGCATTCCCTTCACCTCATATTTTTAATAGTTTGTTGATTTTTTTTTTTAAAAAGAAAGACAGGAAGGAAGAGGGAGAGAGAGATATAAACATCAATGATGAGAGAATCATTGATCGGCTGCCTCCTGTACACCCGTACTGGGGATCAGGCCCACAACCCAGGCATGTGTCTTTGCCCAGGGAATTGAACTGGCTACCTCCTGGTGCACGGGACAATACCCAACCAACTGAGCCACACCAGCCAGGGCTTTACCTCAATTTTTAGAGGAAATAGACTACACATCCCATTGCCTTACTTATTTTCTCAGGGTAGCAAGTGAGAAATGGAACAAAATGGGAAGCCAGCCTTCTATTTTAGTGAGTAGTATCTCACCCTACTCACAACCCATAACCTTGTTATAATGTCACATCTTATAATGCATTATTAGGATGGTGTAAAATAAGATGTTTCGATTGGATATTTCCTCAAGTTTCTTCCAGCTCTCCCATTTTATTATCTAAGAAGTAATGGAAGTGACTTCAATTATACATATGCTATGTTTCTGTATAGATTAAGGCGCGAGGGAATGTGGGACTTGATTGAATTTGATACATAGATGCAGAAAAACCACGCTCTGATAAACCCTCTACCTGAAATCATAGGTCTCGCTCTGGCCTCCCTGCTCTCCTGTGCTGCAGCCCTGGGTGACCTGCTGCTTGCCTCAAGTGCTGAAGTCACCAAGAAGAGGTAGAGAGATGACCTAATCTGTGAGCCAGTTGACCCATGAAGTCAGGTTATTGGTTTCTGTTCTAAAGCATCCACAGGGCTTCTGGTGACAAAAATGCCCTTTTCATCCATAGCAAGTAGACTTTTTTTTTTAAACCCTTTTATTAAGGAAATTTTTAAATAGAAAAAAGTAGAGCAAATGGTATTATGAATCCCCATGTACCTGCCTGTCATCCAGCTTCAACATGAATGTTCTGTCAGTCTTGTTTCATCTATATTTCCTCCAGGACATTTTTTTGGGGGTGGGGTGGGATATTTGAAAGCACATTCTAGACATCACACATTCATTCATAAATACTTTAATGTGTGTATCTAAATAAGGACATTTGTTTGTTTGTTCGTTTGTTTGTTACTAAATCACAACGCTCTATGTGAATGAAAAAGGGGCTATGCAATAACCCTGACAAGCTCAGTGAACAAAAGTAACCACACAGGGTGTTCTGATCTCAAAGTCCTAACTGAACGGGTTATAGCAGGCAGTCACATCCCAGGTCTATAGCTTCCTTAGCAAAGGTCATTTTTTTTTAAAATCCTCACCTGAGGATATGTTTATTGATTTTAGAGAGAGAGAGAGAGGCATTGATGTAAGAGAGAAACATCGATCGGATCGGTTGCCTCCTGTATGCTCTCCAACCAGGAACCAAATCTGCAACCTGGGCATGTGCCCTGACCCGGAATCAAACCTGCGACCTTTGGTGTATTGTACCAACTGAGCAACACCAGCCAGGGTAGCAAAGCTCAATCTTTACCTTAAGTGAGCTCTGTCCATTGTTCTTATGCGTCTAGGATAATATGTCTTTGAAATGTCAGAGTAATTTTATTTTCTGGACCTCTCTCAGGCACAACTACCAGCACCAGAGCACAAGACCACAGAATCCCTCTTGTTATCTTGTTCCCCGTATACCATTTCTATGTGCTGTGAATGTTTATTAACTATTCCCTACCCACCAATGTAAAAGTGTTTCTCCATTTTGCCTTTTATCCAATCCTATGTTTCTCTCCCCACCCCCTAGCCCATGCTTTCTCCCACCTCCTTCATCTACCCCCAGTGGATTTCATGTAACCCTCTTATGACTCCTCCTTTGATTCTAATGTATAAAATAAGCTGCAAAACTGCCATTCTCCGGAGCACTTTCTCAATCTGTTAAGATTTTGCTTCCTGTTATATGTCATCAGTTTGGCTCAAATAAACTCATAACAACTCTCTATAGTTTTGAACTTTTCTTATGCTGACATGTAACTGCTAACGACATGAATAATTCCTGAGTATCATTTACTACTTGAAGTTCAAGTTTCCTTGGTTGTCTCACAGAAGTCTTTTTACCACTGGTTTGTTTAAATCAGGGAAAGAGAGATGATTCTCCTGAAAAAAAAAAAAGGAAGTGGAAATTCCCCCCCAGAAGCCCCAGCAAATCTTGTGCCTCATTGGCCTAAATAAATACTGGGCCCTCTCCTGAATCAATCCCTATGGCTAAGGATGGGCTATGTTAATTGGCTTAAGCCAATCACATCCCACACCTGAAGCTGGGGTCCATCTCACCCACTCCACCCAGTGGGGAAGAACAATAGCTGATACAAAGCACTTAGGTTAATTAGGATTAGCAGTCCCCACAAGTACCCTCTAGGGCAGCTACTATTGCTATCCCCACTTTATTGACTGGCACCGAGAAGTGAAGTAGCTTGCCCAAGTTCACAAGGTTGATACATGGTAGAGTGGACCCTGGTAGTCTGACTCTAGAACCAACGTTTTTAACAGCCATGCTCTATGGCTTCCCAAGGTGGAGGAAGCAACAAATTCCCTCAAGGAAAACTCAGGGAACATGAATGAGCGGAGGGGTGAGGGGAACACTGGGGAAGCAATCAATATGTGCTCCCTCCTGAGACCCGGTGCCTCCTAGGCTGTTGGGTCCACTGGGAAGCCTGGTGAAGAAGGAAGGGGAAAAAGAGGAGGGGATGGAAACAGGAAAAGGCCATGCAAGGGCGGGAGACAGGGCTGGTGAGGAGCATGCATGGCATTGATGATCCTGGATTTCTCCCCTGGGCTGGAAGAATAAGCAAACATCGAAAACCGGGGGCACGCAGGGCTGCTGTCATGCAGGAGGAGAGCAAGCAGACCATGAGTGTGAGAGCAAAGATTCACACCTGGGTAAGAGTTTAAGCGATAAGCAATGCAAACACTGAGGCAAGAGGCATGGGCTTGGGGTGAGGGCTTTGATGCACTCAGAGATGGCTGGTTGTAGGTGGAAGAAACAAAGCCATGCACGGGCTGCAAGGAGTTGGCTCCAGCTGCCACTTCTAGGCAGTACGCTGGCATTGCTGTCGGTAGCAGAGGGTTTTTGAGTAAACCTGCTCACAAGGCTGGGTTCTTCCACTTCCACACATTCAACTACAGTCCTTTTTATTAAATTGGACTCTTCTCTCTATAAAATTTTTTTTTCCAGAGAGAACAGAATGCTAACACATTCAAAAGATTGTTCCTTAACATATATGGGATCCTTATGTGTGCTTAGAACCCTTTGGACTATTACATTTTATAATTTTTCATGTTTGTCAGACTACTTGTTAGTAGGATTGGCTTAATAAAGGCCATCCTATTCTTGATTTGTGGCAAATATCTGAAATCTGAAAAACCTTTTTGTATTTTCTCTAAGATACACAGAGACCTGGGGACCGAGTGCTGGGGACAGAGGGCTCCTAGCCTCAACCTGAAGCAGAGCGGCGGGGCGGTAGTAAGACAGCAGGGCCTGGAACTCAGGGCCAAGCCAGGAGTCTACACGTAGGATCCGCAGGGTCTATAAATGCTAGGAGGAAAGCAATTTGAGTGAGATCCCAGCACCCAAGAGGGAAGAACTTTGCTTTCCCACAGCTTAATGGTCTTAGAAACTTTGGGAGGCTGAGGGCTGACGTTAAGGTCACAGTGTTTGGTGGAGAAATCCTTCCCTTTGAGTTTTAGGGCAGGGGAGCATTGCCTGCATTATCATCTAACCATGGTCTCTGGAAAACACAAAAAATTGCCCCAATTCTACTTTCCTCATCACAACGTCCATACTGTACATACTCTTCCTTCCTAAAGAATGGCTCTAGTTGAAGTATGCATCATTTCCTGCCCTCCTGGCAGGTGGCACAGCTCAGCCGGATCAAAGTAGTACAGGACTGGGGTGCTTACTTCTAATCAGAAGGCCTAACCTCATTGAAAGAAGTCTGTGGCCCTGGCTGGTTTGGCTCAATGGATAGAGCATTGGCCTCCGGATTGAAGGGACCCGGATTTGATTCCAGTCAAGGGCACATGCCCAGGTTGCGGGGTCGATCCCCAGTAGGGGGCGTGCAAGAGGCAGAGCTCAGTGATTCTCTTTCCTCATTGATGTTTCGATCTCCCTCTCCCTTCCTCACTGAAATCAATAAAATGTATTTTAAAAATAATAAAAAATAAAAAAGTCTGTGCAATATTAGCCGGCCAGGGAAAGTATTTTAAATCTGAAGTTTTCTATTTGATTTCGAATTGTTGGGTGCACTTATACTTAACAGTAGTGACACCAAATATGCAAGAACTAAGCAGCAAAGAATGCCAAAAAGAAAAAAATGTGAGTATTGGTTTTACATGTTGTTGGCATTTTCAGAATGTTGAACAACAGTTGTTCCCCTTGCTTAGATTCTAGGCTCTGTCACTTCTCATGGTGGTCAGGTGCTCCCACAAGACTCAGCCTCCCACAGCACTGCTCCCTGGGAACCATCTCACGCTCCGGCTTCATCTTGTCTCTGTGTAGCTGACTGTCCAACACCAAAAGTGTTGTCTAGTCAGCTCAGCCTGGGCAAGGAACAGGTGCCAGCCTTGGCCTCCTGTCATGTTTCCAGAAGAGACTTGCCTCACGTTAACTACCCAGCAAGGGAAAGAAAGGCCTTAGCTCAGCATAAATGACACTGGGAATCCCGTGGCTGAGTCACCATTCAACCTTCCCATCTCTGCTCCTTAGATTTTCCCATGACCACAGAGGCCATTTCTCTTGAATATCTGTTTGTGCTATGGATGTGGCTTCCTGCCTGGTAGAGTGCCCTTAGGATACAGGAGGCAAGATCTGGATGAGAAGGGCTCAGGGATGACAGTCATCCTAGACTTCTCTGCAACGAGGTGCTTCTCTAGCTGCCCCAGGCCCGCTGCCTTCGCTATTCCTGGCTTCTGTTAAGCTCTGAAACCATTGGCTAGGCTAGTTCAGGTGAGGGAAAACTTTCCCTCTGGCTTGACAGAGACTGGCCTAAATTTCAACATAAAACTTGTCT